TTCGGGGATATCACGTCACCCTGTCTTACACCTCTCTGCAATTGAATAGGTTTCGTACTCTGGTTCTGTACTCGGATAGCCATCGTAGCTCTACTGTACAAACACTTCAGCACTTCGATATACCGACAGTCAACTTGGCACCGCTGAAGAGACTGCAGCACCGCCCAAATTTCGTCGGAATCAAAGGCTTTCTTATAGTCCACATACGCAAGGCAAAGTGGCAGATTATACTCCTCTGTCTTCTGTACAATCTGCCGCAGGGTAATTATTTTGGTCTATGGTACTAAAGCCTTTTCGGAAACCGGCTTGTTCAGGAGACTGGAAGTCTGTGCGTGCGAGACGAATCGTAATGACTCTCGAAAACAGCACGTAGACGCGGCTCAGAAGGGAAATCGGTCTGTAGTTCTTCAAGAGAGTGTTGTCGCCTATCTTGAAGAACAAGACCATCATACTTATGCTCCAGGCTTCCGGTGTAGTGCCACCATGGAGGACGGAATTAATGAGCTTCTGAAGGACTTCAAGTACCGGTTTTCCACCCGCTTTCAGAAGCTCCGCTGTAATTACATCCTCACCCGGGGACTTGCCTTTTTTAAGGTACTGGAGAGTCATTTTTATTTCGCTCAGCCTGACATCCGGGATATCTTCGGAATAGTGTCGGATAAGACTCGCTCTTGGATCGTTACTCACACTCGTGTGGCTCCAACGATGATGTATACATCTGCCCATAGAACCTCTCAATCTCACTCAAAATCTCAGGTGTCCAGTAAAGGATGCTGCTACACTCGGTCTTCAGTTTTGACAGTTGGCTGTTTCTGGCAGACAGATCTCTGGCAAAGACTTCGAAGCCCTGGTTCCGCTCGATCTCCTCTTAAAATCTACGCTCTATGCTGTATTGAAGTTGCGTAAGTGCCGCCGCATGCATTTGGAGGTTTGTCTGTTCAGTTGCCTTTATGCTGTCGAACCTGCTGAAGACTCCAGCGTCATTTCCCGTCTAACAGCCATGATATTACGAGTGTGTTTGGGGAGTTTTTGTGTTCTTCTGCGGCGGGTTTTGCAAAACTTAGCTCCGACTGAATGCACAGTCTTCACCAGCCTGTAATTAATATCGTTCACTGTATTGCAATCTTCTAGACACTGAAAACGATTTTGTAACTCAAACTGAAATTTTTTGGGACTTTGGATTAGAGCACGAGGGACACGGAGCATTGACTTCATTAGACGGGACCTCTCCAACTTAACGTGTACGTTCAATGTACCTCTCACTATTTGGTGATTGTTGCCGGTTGCCAAACTCGCGGTCACTGAGACATCACTGAACAGTTGCGGTCTAGTCGTCAAAATGAATTCAATCTCAATTTTTGTCAAGTCGTCGCGGCTCGAACAGGTCCACTTCCTGTGGGGCTGCTTCTGGAAGAAAGAATTCATCATAAAGAGTCCCTCTTTCACCGTGATGTCGGCCAGCTGCTGGCTCTTTGGGTTCTGTTGACCTATTCCGAATTTCCCTACTCGAAGGTATACTCGACCGTAGTACCCGAGGGTTCAGCTCACCGTTCTCTCTTGTGCCTAGTTTTGCGTTGAAGTCTCCCATTAACACCGTATAGTGGGTATTGGAGGAATGAATGTCTCTAGATATATCCTCATACATGTCCCCCACCTCATTGGAATGTCCCGAAATTGGTGCGTAAACTTGAATGACCTTCAGTGAATACCGTTTGGTGATTCTGAGTATAAGGTACGCAACCCTCGTCGACACATTCCCAATATTTACAACGTTTTTAACGAGAGAATTGTGGACGATAAATCCGACACCGCCTTGGGACACATAATCGCCCACCCGGTGATAGAACAAGTTGCTGGATTAGACGATTGTCGTGTCCTCCCCCTCTCTTCGGACCTCGGATAATCCTATAATATTCCAGCGCAACTTGTCTATCGCTTCTTCTAGCTCCAGGATTTTCTCGTCAGTCCTCAGGGCACGTGCGTGATATTTTGCCAGGCCGAGTCGTCTCCGTGGGCAACCGGACCTCCACCGGATATTCTTAGCACCCCTGCCCCGCCACCTGGTCGCCACCGTAGCCAGAAATAACGGGGCCGGCGGGGATTGGGGGCCGTCTCTTCGTAACTCTCATCATATACCCCACATTGCCATAGTCGCCACGATTGGCGAGTGGGTTGGCAACCACAGTTTTTTTGTTGTTATTTTGCTGTTCGGAAAGATGCTGTTGCCCATCTTCTGCCTCAGTTTCCCTCTATCGCCTTTTACGACACCCACGGAAAGTTTTGGGGTAGTAGGTATGCTTGCCCGCCACTACACGGGAAATGTGTTCCACCAGTTTGCAATATAATAAAACAATTCATAACATATTTCACTGCAGATGCTGGACTATTTTGTCCAACATTCAGTTCAATCTGCTGTGTAATATCAGTGTGAGATATGTCCGCTATATTATCCTATTGGAGCCATAAGAGTTGTCCAATGAAGATCATATATAAGAAGATCATGTTGCTTTTGAAATTTCATAGAGTATTCTATGGAATCATCTGTTTATGTGCTAGACCTGATTTAATTGTAGAAATGGTCATGGCCATTACATTTATAAATAATTTAAAATTAAAAAATTTGTACAGCTGACTTCAATACAAGTTATTAAGAATAACTCAAAAACTATTGGTCTGACCTTGATCAAATTTTTTTTTTTTTTTTATTCTTTTTTATTTAAGGGACTTTCGTTATTATTAACATGTCAGTCCCATTGTACCTTATAACTAAATAGCACAAAAATATTTAATTACTTATACATTACTTAATAAATGATAAACCATTTGGGCAGCATCTGACAGTGGTTCAGAGAGTATACTTTGATATTCCCCTATGTTGTACATTTTAATGTCAGTTTTGGCGACCAGTAGTTTCCTTTCGTGATGGTTTTTAGAACATTCCGCGAGTAGGTGTTGTATGTCTTCGATTGTGTTGCATGTTTCGCAATTTGGAGATTGTTTTTTTTTCATCATGAAAGCAAACTTGTTGCACGGAATGTGTCCGGAGCGAAGTCGCATTGCTAATACAACAGATTTTCTGTTCAATAGACATTGATTGAACCAAGGCACTTTCGGAGGCTGACTCTGGATAGTTTTGTACCAAATCCCTTTTTCTTGCGACCTTTTGTCAAAATATTCTTTCCAAAGTGCATAACATTTCTCTTTGTATTTAATTAAAATTTCTGTATAGTCTGGATCAATATTACATTCTCTTCCTTGTGTAATTGCCAATTTAGCCAGTTTGTCAGCCTCCTCATTGCCTTGTAAACCGATGTGTGATGGTACCCACTGCAATACTAAATTACGGTTTTTACATTGAAGTTTAAATATTTCATTTAATATATGGTATGCTATCGATACACCTCTGAGACCAGAGGCGCATCGAGCAATATGTTGAAGAGCACTCTTGCTATCAGTTAATATGACTGTTTTTTGAAAATCTGTTGTACCATCATATACTAGGGCGTCATTTATAGCAATTAATTCAGCTGACATTATTGTCAAATTATTAGGGATTTTAATCTTACATTTATTACCCAGTAGTGAATCTACATAAGCGGCACCTACCCCACATTTATCCTTAGATCCATCACAAAAAAGCTTGTGCCATCCAAAATATTTAACATTCAATTCATTGATCACATTCGACTTTAAAGAATTTATCTCCTGACATCTTTTAGCACTCTTGATACAATCTAAGTCTTCCTTAATTACGGTTTTAATATTAATACTTGATACCCAAGTATTTAAAGAGAACATATCTAGTGGATCCGAAGAATACAAATTACTATTATTAACTTGTTCTAATGTCATAGCTAGAAGCGGTTTCTTTTTATTTTGCCAGTACCTATCTTTACAGAATAAGCTGAGTTCTGTTAGTAGCTTAATAGTTGTATTATTAGATCTAGATTTACTTTTCAGACAATATTTATATGCTAGAAATTTTCTTCTTAAAAACAGGGGCGTTATATTTAATTCACTTTCCATAACGTGTATTGGCGTGGTTTTGATAAACCCCCCTATAATACGTAGTGCTTGATTTTGGATTTTATCTAATTTGCAAACGTGTCTATTAGCACTCATATCATATAAAAAGCAGCCGAAATCCATTCTGCTTCTTATAAGCGATAGGTATAACCTACGTAAATGCTGCGGATGTATGCCCCAACCATGCCTTGTTAATACCTTTAATATGTTTACAAATTTTGTTATCTTCTGGCTAATTTCATTAATATGTTTAGCCCATCTTAATGATCTGTCCAGCCACATACCCAAATATTGTATATTATCTGTCCCAAGTATACTTTTGCCGTATAGTTCTAATTTAATTTCCTGACGTCTAAAACCTCTACTAAAAATCATAAGCTTAGTCTTGTCGATAGAAATATCTAAGCCTATTTTATTAAGTGAATTTACTATAGAGTTTAAAGCATTCTGAATGTTGTACTCACAATCCTTAAGATTTTTTGAGCTCGAATAGATTACAAAATCATCTGCATATTGAGCGATAGACACATTTTGTATTTGACTACATATATCATGAGTAATAATGTTAAATAGCAAAGGAGACAAAGGGCACCCTGCGCTAAACCCTTATTGGCCCATCTTTTTAATCCCTCCTTACGCGGTTCCCTTTCTATAACAAGACGTCTTTCACTAAAACATGAACAGAAAAATACAAATACAGTTCATGAAATAAGTTGTGAACAGCCTAAACTAAAATACACAAGAAAATTTTTAGAAATTGAATAATTATGTATATATAAAATATACAACAACAGTAAATGTTAACTAAATACAAAAGAAAAACATTTCAATTCAATCTTTTATTTGCCATTAATGTTTCAAAAATCATAAGCATATGCTTAAAACATTATTTTTTAAAGAAATAAATAATAGTGAACTGTGTAATTCTTATGGAGAATGAAGTATTTTTAAATCATATAATATTTAAATTTCAGAATGAAAGTTTTCGTTTTGAGAAAGCTCGTCTAGTCCCTACATTACCATTGCATAGTTGTGCAGATATTGTTAACCATGAAGAAGTTTTTGGGCACATAGCGTTGTCTGAAAGAGGGTAAGTGTAATAAGAATCTATAATATATCTATATATATATACTAGCTGGCCAGGCAGACGTTGTTCTGCCCTTTCCGACGACCCTTCCTATGAAAAAATTCTTAAATTCGCAATAAAAAAATATTGAAGGGCATTTATCGGGATAAAAAGTATGTTATCTTTCAAGTTGGACCAAACTGAACACAGTGTGCAAAATTTCATTGAAATCAGTTCAATAGTTTAGGAGTTCATCGCGGACAAACAATGTGACACGTAATTTTTATATATAAAGATATATATGTATATATACTAGCTGGCCGGGCAGACGTCATACTGCTCTCTCCGACTTCATCCTATAAAAATCCTTAAATTACCAATAAAAAATATTGGGGGTCACTTAACGCCATAAGAACTATCCTGTCTCTCAAGTTGAACCAAACTACACACAGTGTGTAAAACTTTATTTTTGAAATTTTAAATTTTTATTTATAAAGATAATATATTAAGGTGTGTGTGGTGTTGCAGTTGTTCATTGGCGGTAGTAGTCACCAATATGAAATATAATATTATGCAAGTAAAATGTAAAAATTTTGTACTTTTCTTCATTTTGGTGGACATATTCTTGTAGGTATTGGTTCCATGTTCGTCCGGGACTTATACAAGTCGTAAAAAGCGACTATTGGGTTTGTGATTGTGTAGGTAATGGGCTAGTCATTTATCACTTCTTTCACAATTTTCTATTTTAATCCATATTTTCCTGGCTACAACATTGTAGTATTGCATCAACTATGTTTTATCAGGGTTTATTTGACATGCTGTTAAGGAGACTGTTGTAGCATTACATTATAAGAAAAATGTAAAGCTTATTAATTAAATTAGTTTCTTTTCTAATTACAGAGAGTGTTCTTTTGTTTACAAGACAGCTAAAGCTCAGCAGGCAGGTGCAAGGGCTATAATAATTACCGAGTCTGTTGATAAGTGGGATGATTCATTAGATCATCTAATAGAAATGGTGGATGATAAGTAAGTATGATTATTTATGAGTGGTAAATGACAAAGGAGACGGGGATGTCTGGGCCCAATTGTAATAAGCTGAAATATGATTTAAAAAAAGCGTTATATTTTTCTATTTCAAAATATATAAATATTTGCCCAATTTACAATCTGGAAGACGAGAAATCTTGAAAATAAGTGTATGTCACGAATAAAATAGGAAATCGATTACTTTAATCGATTAATGTGAATGAGCTTTAACAATTAAACATACAAACAACTTACATCAGATGATTGATTCAATGAAAGTAAAAAGATACATTACAGTATATTAACATAGTGTCAACAGTTTAAAAAATTAAATTTCAACATAATAAAAATAAATCTTAAAATCGATTCACGTTTACAGTTCGATTTATTACATGTTTTGTCAACTGCATTTTTAATCTGTGCCGATAGTGACAGCTCCTGCCTGATTCAACTCAATCTATGATCACTGAATTTTCAGTGATTTTTTGATAATATATAAGCTATTAATTGACACCACTTTCATCGTTTTTGAATCTGGGCCCAAGTATGTATGAAAGCGTATCCGTCTCCTTTGTTATGTAAACTTAAACTCGACAGAACATGCTTAAGTTAAACTAAGAAGACAAGCAAGGAAATCCAATACCAGTTACATAATTTAGAGATCTCAAAATATTCATTCTTCTGTAATGTCACAAATTAGTTTTGACAGCTAACTTCTAAGTGTACTATACATCATCACCACCACCACCACCATCATCATCATCGCCACCATCACCACTACCATCATCATCAGTAACAGCACCACCACCAACACCACTACCACCATCATCAGCATCACTATCACCACCACCGTCATCATTATCATCATCACTATAGTCTATCAAAGTTCACTGCTGACGTAGGCCTCCCTCATAAGATGGTTACTTGCCATAGTTGCTATATTTAGTGTGCGGGTTGGCAACGGCAGTTCTTTGTTCAATTTCTAGTTGTTATTAAAAAGACCATCTCCTTGTTGGTTTCCCTCTGTCGCTAACGAAACCCATGGGATAATATGAGATAGTGGATATTTTTACGTCGCCACTACACGGTAACCATACATTAGGAAGTATTTATAAAATTGATAAAATAAATGGCATTTGATGACTGTCTCAAATCTTAATAATTCTACATTATTAAGATTTGAGACACATATATCCTAACCGTTCCCAATCTTCGTTCGCAATTTTAACAACGATCGATGTCGATGTATATACTTCGATATCGATCGTTGTTAAATATACTACGACGTGCAATGTACGTATTCTCGGTGCTAGGGCGATTTGCTAATAATGTGGGTAATTGAAAAAAACATTAGCTAACAACACTACCTGAGGATATACGTATGAAATTTCGTCCTGGTAACTTCATAACTTCTTATGTAACCTTCAGTTATAGACGACGGGAATGCGCTTAAAAAGCTGGCACGGGTTGACTGTTGTAGGAGGTTATTAGAGTTGTGTGGTGACGATCCAACAAGTGTTTTTGATGGATAGCTAGAGGAGATAAAACATGGGTTCACCACTATGACCCTGAGAGTAAACAGGGTCTATGCAATGGCATAAAAAGGGTTCAGAACCGCAAGAAGTTCAAAGTAACTCTCGGCTCGTAAAATCATGGCCACACTGTTTTGGGATTCCAAAAGAATGCTATTACACAAAAAATGGTGAAACCATCAACGCAGACAAATACTCAACCACTTTACGCCGTTTGAGAGAAGCAATACAAGAAAATAGAAAAGCAAAACTGACCAAGGGAGTGCTGCTTCTTCATCAATCTTCTTCTAAATAAATCTTCAATCTACAGCTTAAAAAAAAAAAGATAAGAAAGAATAATTATTTATTAAGCAAAAATTGTCTAGTAAGTGTTATTATACTACTAAAGAGTACATGACTGATAATAACCCCTGGGAATGAGGTGATCGCTACCATGCCGTTTGTAAATGTTTTCATAACAATTGTATAAAATATTATATTGTAAACTGTGTTTTTTTTAAAAAAAGAAGTCCCGTTGAGGTTCTTGCTGGTTCTTCCCAGGACAGAGGTTTTTTTGCAAACCAGTGGTAAAAGTAAAAAATTATTCTATTCTATTCTACTCTAAAGACTGCGGGCTTGAGGAAATTTACCATCCAGAATACAGCCCAGTAGCCCCAGTGACTACTTTTCTACCGACTTCCAAAAAGGAGACGGTAGTCAATTCGACTGTATGTTTTTATTATGTGTGTTACCTCATAACTTTTTACTGGGCCAACCGATTTCGATGATTCTTTTTTTATTTGAAAGCTGGTACTTCTCGTGTAGTCCCATATGAATTTGATCAAGGTCAGACTAATAGTTTTTGAGTTATTCTTAATAACTTATATTGAAGTCGGCTGTACAAAATTTATAATTTTAAATTATTATTCCCAAACTTAAAAAAAGACCTTCGAGAAAAGCGATTTGTTGACGAGAAAGTCCGCTGTAAATGAGCATGTTTTTTAAATAGAAGAATGTCAAACAAACATGCGGCTCCCCTGATGGTAAGTGACTACCGCCGCCCATGAACAACCGCAACACCAGGGGAATTGCAGATGCGTTGCCGGCCTTTTATAAAGGTGTAAGCTCTTTTCTTGAAGGTCCCTAAGTCGTATCGGTCCGAATAAATCACCGGTGGTAAACAATTCCACAGAGAAGTTGTACGAGGAAGAAAACTTCTAGTAAAACGCACAGTCGAGCATCCAGATGGTGAAGATGGTATCGTGAATTTTGACGCGACGTGCGTTCGAGAAATTTGGCGGCTGAAATTAATCCGAACAATTCCTCGGAGCACGCCCCGTGGTAAATGCGAAAGAAAATGCAAAGGGATGCAACATCCCTACGCAGTGCCAGTGTATCGAGCCGATCAGAAAGAACTCGGTCGTCGACGATTTGAACCGCTTTGCGCTGGATGCGGTCAAGTCGAAGGAGCTGGCACTGGGGAACCCCTGCCCAGAGATGAGAACAGTATTCCATGTGAGGCGGGACTTGCGCTTTGTAAAGTTGCAAGAGATGTGCCGGCATGAAATACTGTCTCGCTCTGCTGAGCACGCGAAGCTTTTTAGAGGCCAATTTGATTATTTTGTAATGCTTAAAGTTCGATCTCGACACCGCTTAAATTATATTAATATAGCAGAATAAGTGTGCTGCATGTTGTAGAGTATTGGTTGTATTACAAAATTATTACATGATTATGGCTTGACGTGAGGTACCTTGTAGTCACGGCGTAAGAATATCGACCACCCCTTATCGTTCTGTGGGTGTCGTCGGCAGCAACATTTTCCTTATAACAACTAAAACAATGCGGTTGCCAACCCGCCTGCCAAGCGTGGCAACTATGATTAATATCTCCCCCATAAAGTAATCTATGGGAGAGCCCTGCAGTGGACTTTGATAGGCTGTAACAATATGGTTAGAGGTTTTAATAATATTGTGTTCTTATGATTACAGAATGGATTTAGACGTGAACATTCCAGCAGCTTTCCTTCTTGGTCGCAGCGGCGCAACAATACTCAGAACCTTAAGAAAATTACATAGAAGTTATGCTCTAATTAATTTACCAATTAATATGACTCATGTACCCATAAGCAAAATGAATCAACCTCCATGGATCTCATGGTGAACTTATGTATTTAAGCCATAATTGTTATTGAAAAATTTGTGTGTTGTTTACGTTGTTTTTGTTTGTAATACCTAATTTTTGTTATATAAAGTTATTAGTTACCACTTAACGTTATCATATTTATGAAAATGTTAATTTGTTAAATAATGGGTATAGTAAGTAAGTGATGTAGCGATTTAGCAATTTTTTATTTCACCAACCGCTATTGGTCTACTGCTGGAAATGGATCTTCTATATTTGTATGAAGGTTCCATTGATTTTGGTAATTTATTTATTTTTAATAATGGCGTTATGTTTCGTCGCTGTTATTATTGTCAGTGTAAAATTTCAAAAGTAAATATTATAATGAAATAATTTACACAATAAAAACAAACACAACTAATTAAACTTCAAACTGTGTGATCGATCCTTCACTGACACTTGTTGACAGCTATTTTAGACACTAAAATGTCAAATACTAAACTAGCTAACTTACTAATGGTGGATTCGACCAAACGAGACTAAATATTATATATATACCTACGCATATATGCTCGTCGGTTAAGGGTACCTACCCTTAATCTGGCCCATTTTCAATATATCGCCAATTTGACCTGATGAATTTTCGTCTAGGCCTTCCCTTCCCATCTCTTCCGTTCACTTCTGCAATATAAATTTGCTTTGTCATTCTTTCCTCGTTCATTACTTCCATATGGCCAAACTACCGAAGCATTCCTTTCTTAATCCTGGTCACAACACCATCTTACGAACCACACTTTTCTCTTATCACACAATTTCTCATCAAATTCAGCCCTAAAATACAACAACATTTATTCTACTCTCGTGCTTCTGCCACACTCAACTTTCACTACCATACATTAGGGACTAGCAAAGCATTGTGAATTGCCATACATGCCTTTTTTAGAACATTCTGACTCCCCATAATAGAGTGAAGCTCTACTTACCCTATTTTCTGTGTTCACTCGTCGGTCTAAGGATATACCTTATCATATCATCTATCATCTATTTTGTGTGATATTCGTGCTGTTAGCCTATACGGCTCTTACAGCTTCTTCTAACACGGGGTTAGCGTCTGAAAGCTTTTTATCATATCTACCGTCCCTGCTAAAAACACATCCCAAATTCACAAACTTATCCACTTGCTCGACCAACCAAATTTTATTCTTAGAATAAACTGCCATTTATTACAAAAAAAAAAGTTTGACGAAATATTCGTGTGGCTTTAGCCTACACGAGCGACCCTTTACACATTCGCGTCTAATCTATTCATTTCTACTTCAGCTTGACGAAATGGATGACGTCGTCATTCTAGTGGTTATTCGAAAGTCAGTATAATTATTTAGAACATCATCTCTCCTGCGTGTTTTATTGATGCACCTGCATCTTTTTGCAAAGGAGAAAGTAGGAATCAATAAATTTTTCTTCAATTTTAAATCGTTCACTGGTATTCCCATATATAAGTCCAAGATTTGTATACTTTTTGCATATTCTTATGATGACCATGCTTTTGATTCCAAATGACTGGCTGACTATGGTGAAGCTCCAGAAATACCATAATTTTATTGTAGGTCCAGTCCATTGTGTTTATTTGCTTGATACGCCGTTTGCTATAAAATGAAATAGAAAGTTCATGTGTATACACTAGTTCCTCTCGCTGCTCTTTTCCCTTTGACTCGTGTCCAAAAAACCGCTATCGACACGTGCGTCACAAGCGGCGACACGAAATACGAGGCGAATGACGAACCACGGTTTACATATTCGTGCTCGTTCCTCGACTCGCCGCTCGCTTCGTCACTTGCGCGAATGTGTAAATGCGGCTTTAGATTTACCGAAAAATGAGACAAAACTTTAATCGAAAATTAAATCGTGGTATAGCCTGTTATACTTAATTGTGAATAAATCGAGATTTGGTCAAGCTAACCTTATTGACTAAATAGCTGTCAACAGCTGTTCTATACATTATTATACAAATAAATCGAGTGATCGTAATGTAATCTTGTACATCGTCCCATAATAGAATAATATTTGCCGAGTTTCACATTTGTACTCATATTACCACTCACGTATAGTTATTCCAAGCGTTAGATTGCACGGAGAAACGATACACGTCTTTACAGAGTTGAGATTTAGACCGTGGAATAGCTTATCCCTGGTATAGTTAAACGGTATATAAATCGAGGATTGGTCGATTGTATCCTAAAACATATTACATTCCTGTGACGCGCAAGTCGTAATCATTACTTAGCAGGGGCGGATCTTGAATTTGTGGGGCCCTGGGCTAATACTGCTTAGGGGCCCTACCTAATTACTCAACTAATTGCCATTTTGACAAGAAACTGTTTTCTGAAGTGATGTAGGTATATGTAATGTAATATATGTTAAGTACAGGAAGAAAATAGGAAAACAAAATATTTTATTTGTTTATTAAAACATTATTTATTGCAAAATAAATTGACAGGTTATAGATGGTTATGTTATATAAATTATAAAGCAACCTTTCTGCATTTTTGTGCTGCAAATTCTTTTATTTGGTCATCGCACTGTCAGGCGTGTCACTTTGTAAAAATCTGAGGTATGGAAAATCGCTGTGATAAAGTTAAACGCGAAATCTCAATCCCCAATACCCCACGTCTTACAGTTTAATAAACAAATCGAGTAAATAACCCATAATTGTTAAAGCCCCACGTACAAAAAAGTAAACTTTTGCAACTTCATCTCCAATATTATAGTCAAATTAATAAATACTTAATAAAACCGCGAACTCGTAAACCTTAATACCCCACATATATTCAATAAATAAATTTTTATAGAGAAGTATGTATCGTATATAATAATTAGACGAAACGAATCGCGAAATAATTGAATCTAAATACTCACATCAGAGTAATACAATCAAGTTTGAACATCATAGTTTATTTATTAAATGTGTTTGGCACCATACATTGCAACCCGTTACATATTATTAACATTTAAACATTATAACAACTTATGAATACGTGAAATTACATTTCAAGAATTGCACAACGCACAATTTGATGCGTATGACTATTATCAACAATAACGCGTGAAACGTTATGCTCGGCTATTGTTTAATAATAGCAAATGTATTTTTTCTATGCTGATTTTTAAGTATGAATTTGTTCATTAAATCACCTATATTCAAAGCTTCAACTCGGTCGCGATAAACATATAAAATAGCATAGTGATTTAACCTATCTTGACCCATAGTTGCTCTCGTGTAAGTTTTAAGAAAACGGAGCGTCGAAAACGAGCGTTCATTAGTGCACGTGGATCCTGGAATTGTCAATAAAAGTCTAACCAACTTTGTATATTCATTAAAAATTAACCGATAAGACTTTTCTGATTTTAAAAAAGCAACGACGTCTTTCACACTTTCAAGCTGAACATTATTATTCTTCGCGTAATTTAAAAACAAATCTCTCTGATTAGTTAACAACTGTGCGTCAAAATTGTCTTCTTTCGATTCATTCTTTTTCTGAGTATTGTAAAAATTAGTAATATCTAAAACATTTATATTATTTTTTCCAATAAGAAAGTTCTCAAATTTACTTAATAAATTTATAGTTTCTGTCTCAAATCGTGTGTTTAAAGACATTAGAACCTTGTCATAAACTTCAAAATAAATTTTTCTGTAGTTATCTTCCGGCGTATCAAAAATATGAGCTTCGCTTGATGAATCAAAACGGCGTGGAGTTTTTCTTTCGCGGCGTACAGAAGGCTCTTCTACATTAAATTTTGCAATACCTTTGTTTGCTTCCTTCCAAATAACTTCAAACTTCTGATCTCGTTGCGTTTCAAGATTTTTCGTGCTAATCTCGACAAGCTTATTTGATTCATTTAGACATAGTTGTGACTTTTGTAACTGTGTATTCAGTAGTTCAATTGCCTCAAAAATATTAATCATAGTTGTAAGCAAAAAATATGTTTCGAAGGTTTGTAAATGTTTTGAGAATCCCTTTGCTTTTGATGATGTAATTGCATCAGTGTCTCGGGCATTACTTGTTAATAGCATAAAATCAATGACACTTTGATAGTTAGCATCATGGTACAATCGTTTAAGAGAACTTATTCTCATGGTCCACCTACAAAATTAGGTACATGATTTTATCAATATAAATGATATCTACACGGTGGATATTACCTAAAATAAATGAATATACTTTACTCACCTGGTAGGACAAAATGGTGTCAGATCGGGGCTTTTCTCAGACTGCAAATCATGAAATCGTCCTAAGCGCTTCGGGGAATCACGTATAAAATTTAGTAGATCTTTAATAATCCCGATGAAATTTTTTATCAAAATTATATCTTCCATTGAATCTTGTACTACTAAATTCAAACTGTGTGCTAAGCAGTGAACATGCAGCGCTCGAGGTTCTACCTCGCGTATTCGTGTCTGAAGCCCTGTAATCTTACCACTCACATTACTAGCACCATCGTAGCACTGTCCTCGTAAATTTGCGATACTTAATCCAGATTCTTCGATTACATCAGTGACAATCTCAAAAAGCGTTTCAGCTTTTGTATCTTTTGTGTCGTAGAATCCTATAAAATATTCATTTAGAGTCAAATCTTCAGCAACTGATCTGAAACAAATTGATACTTGTTCGAGCCGTTTTATATCCGACGTTTCATCGATCATGATCGAAAAATATTTATTCTCTTTAATTTCTTTTAAAATATCTTCTTTTATTTCGTCAGCCATCATACTTAGTATTTCGTTTATAATTGTGTGGTGAAGCCACGAATGCTCATATTTTTTTCTATTCAACCATGCTTTTAATTCAGGAATATCGTGTGATCTTAATTCTAATAATTTATAAAAATTCGATTCTTTAGCGTTTTCTCTTCTAAATGATAACCCTTGTCTCGCAAGATAACTAGCTGTCGTAAAAATTGCCCTTAACACTATCCTAGCTTCCAACTTCTCTTTTTCATTCGATTCTTGTATTATATCAACTATGTTCGGCTTGTTTTTGTTTAATACAAATTCAGTAGCAGCACTATGCAATTCACTGCTTTCGTGACTTTTAAAAGTTTGTGCAGCGTTTTTCCAACAGTTGAAACCTACAGTAACAAAAGCTTCTTTCGAAATTTGACAACTTCTATTTTCGACTAACGGAAATTTGTTGGTTATTGCATCTGTGCAGAAACTACAAAATACTTTGCCGGATTTAGGCATTAACCATGTATGAGTCTTTTTCCAACGTTTGAAAGAGGCAGGCATTCCTGATTCGGCTGAAAATACATATAAAAAATATTTCATTCACTGTAAATAATAACAATATATCAATCGCTCGAATGTTGATTCGCGCTTGTGTAAAATAGTACAAGCAAAGATGTTTTATAGGTCCAGATACCGTGTTGCTAACACACCGCAACGTTCATAGTGAAGACAGTCTTTGATTCATGTGTGCGTGAGTACCACGCGACGCGTATATCTTACGCACCATGGCTGCATTAATGTGCGTGACTTCGGTAATAACAGTGCGAATCGATTACCCAAAAAATGTGGGAGATTTTATGTTATGTAGGTACGAACATCGCACTAAAATATTGAAGATATGTAATAAAACCTATAATTAATGTAACAGTTAAAATAAATAAAAAAGCACAGTAGGTATTTATGTATGTAACATATATTTATAATCTATTATTACTATATATATATATACAGAGTACTACACTTTTGTACTGTAGAACACAAAATATTGCCGCTTTTTTACGAAGACATTAAATTATTTTTCAATCCTAAGTAAAATGACGAAGAAAAGTAAGTTTGGTTAATCGTAAACTTCGGCCAAGAGATAGCAAAATGTTTGATTTTTTTAAATTGCTCTGTTCCGTTGCTGCGTGATGGAAGGACAAAAACAAATAAACAAAAAATTACACTTTCACGTTTATAATATTATATTAGTATGGATTGTCAAGAATGTTAGATAAACATTTAAAACCGGTTTACAATCGGCTTTTTGAGGGTGGAACTATACACTAGCGCTCTCTTTCTCGCTCTAGTAAATAACGGTTTTGAATGACCAAAAAGGATAGACAGGAAAGTGCAATTTCATGCTGCCAGATGTAGTTCAACCCTAACCCTTAAAACGGTTTAACTCTATAGGTTGGGTAAAATCTGTAAAATTAGACTGTTTAAACCCCTATACAGATAACCTTTGCGGTTGATCATGACATTAAAAAATGGTAAAAACATTTCATAGACTAGGCAACACTCGAATATTATTGCGCAGTATTATTACTTGTATTGACATTTAGCTTTCGTATTCTTTTACAAAGAAATACACCATAAAAATGTATAGTTACTTATGAAAGGTGATGTTCTTATCCTTATCTTTTTTCCAAGAGTAATTTTTAAATGATTTCACAGCACAAACAGTCATTTTGCGAAATTAAAAACACCGGTGCGTGATGTATGTTCACAGTGAACGTCGCTGGCGTAATGGCGGAACGATCGAACGAATACGCCCATATTGGCGCCTTTTAAATGGAAGCGTTTTAGGCGCGCGTACACGGTATCTGGACCTATAAAACATCTTTGAGTACAAGCGTCTTGAATGCAACGAACGAAATTCTTTCCGAGAACATTAATAGCTCATGCAAAACACTAAAAGGTGTAAATCATTTCATCACATACTATGTTCATTTTCCGATTGTTGACTTTCTCTTGTAATGTTATTATCAACATTGACATTTGCAGTTGTTTTTGACGAGGTAGCAGACAATGCGGACATAACCTGCGTTGCACTTGTCCTCGTCTCGCTTTCATTTGAGATATTTCTCGGAGTTTTAACAAGATACTTATCCATTTCTCTATGTGATTGTGATACATTCAAAAAAACACCGCTTAAATCTTTCTACATTGCCGAATATCACAATTTTCCTGAGGCACTAACACAAATGCACGAGCTCCCATGTTACTGTGTATATGTACACATAGCGATAAGGCGTGAACGTAGGCATTAGTTCAACGCACACACGTGTAGTGGTTTCGCGCATGCGCGCTACTGAATAACTGCGTGTGGCGCGATTTTCAAATTTGTTCGCATTACTCGTGGGGTATTAAGGTTTAAGAGTTTGCAGTGTATATACTCAACTTATTTATTGAACTATAAGATGTGGGGTATTGAGGTTTAAGGGCTTGCGATTTATTTATATGGGGTATTTAGTTTTCCTAATTTCAGATATGGAATTCCATACCTTGAAAAACTTGAGGTATGGAGTGCTCCATACCTTCCATAGTGGAAGTGACACCCCTGCGCACTGTAGGTCCTTTGTTAAATCGCAATTTATTGAAAGAACTGATAAATGATTTAGTCGATAGTTCGACATTGTTGTCCTGTATTTGTTTTCTATATACGACATCCTGGAGAAAGAACGCTCCGCTTCACAGCTAGTGATCGGCATCTTTAAAAAAATCTTTAAGATGGTATAGCAGTTTGGGAAAACATCAACAAGTTTCTTTTCATAAATTAGCCAAAAAATTTCACTGCAAGAGGTGTAAGACTCTGTCTTAGACTGCAGTAAGTAAGATTTTAACTGAATGCACTCATTCACTAAATGTTCGTCTATGTCATTTGGATAATAATCAATAATATTACGTACACTTTCCAGATCTATGTGTTCTTGATTTCTATCTTGCAAATCCATTAAAAATTTAAATTTTTTGCTGTAGGTCTCATAGGCTTGGCTTCTATAATTTAAATCCATAATCATCTTATCCAACGCAACGTTAAGCGTGTCTCTTTTAAATTTTTCTGCGCCGTTTACTGAGACTTTATCTGTAGATTTATCTGAAAATTTTGAAGTAATGCGTCTCTTATTTATGTCACTGTAGTCTGTTTCCACACTAGTACTTAATTTTTTAGCTTTCTTTTCGTATTCCTTTAGCTTCTGATCTGATTGTTGCCTTATGTTTTTCACGAACTCTTTTAATGACACAATTAACTTATTGCCTTCACCAATGTCTAAACCAGGGCTCTGTACTTTTTTATTAACTACATTAAATCTCTCCAAAATTTCTTCCCAAAAAATAATTAAAATTGCAGTTTCTAGTTTCGCCAGTTTATTAAATAAATTTCGTGCCTCTTTTCGGAAATCAACCTTTTCATCGTTATTTTCGCCGAAACTATTGAGAATTTTCATAATGCCATCATAATTGCTTTTCAAAGCTCTGACAGCATCAAAGTGACAAGACCATCTGGTCTGGCTTAAACTTTTTAATGTAAATTTTACTTTTGTTTCACGATTTAATAGTTCCCACCTATGGGTCGAAGCAGAGAAGAAAACGTATATTTTTTGCACTATTCCAAAAAAATTTACAATTTCGGTTGCAACCTTCACGGATTCTTGACCAACTAGGTTAAGGGAATGCGCAGCACATGGCACGTAATCCGCGGATTTATTTTTTTCTTTTAGTAGTGCTTGTACACCATTGTAGATTCCGGCCATATTAGCAGCGTTGTCATATGACTGTCCCCTGCAATTATCCAGTAGTAGTCCATTTGTTTCCAAAAAGGCTTCTAGAATATTAAATAAATATAAGCCAGTATGACTACTAATTTTAATGAAAGACACACATCTTTCATACACTTTTCCCCGAAAACAGTATCGTAATACAATAGCAAGTTGGTCATCGTGAGACAGATCTGGGGTTGAATCCATCATAATTGAATAATACTTTGTGTCGTCGTTGTTTATTTCAGTTATAATTTGTTTAATTATCTGTTTACCCATAATCTCAATTATTTCCTCATATACTGTTTTTGATAAATATGATATTACAGGGTTTGGTCGCAGCTCTCGTTGTTCAATATGTTCACGTATGAATGGGTCGAATTCTGCCAATAGCTCTAGAGCACCCATAAAATTACCATTATGTGGAGAACCAAATACTTCCTCGGAACCTCTAAGTGCTAAGCCTCTTATACACAAAAACTTTAGCACTGCAATAACCCGTTTTAGGACATTGTGATAATATTCTGTTTCTTTATTTAATTGCTCCTGAAGCTGCTTGTCTAAAACAGACTTATTTTCTTTTCGTGTCAACCACACTAACATTGAGTTTTTATGTTCATTAGAATTTTCGTGATTTTCTAAACAAAATCTTATGTGTTTCCAATCAGAAAATCCGGTTGTGTATTGAGAAGGAGTTTTAGAAAAAAGTTTGCAAGTCAAACAAAAAACAGTACCAACCCTTTTTGAATAACATAACCAAGATCTTTCCAGTAATTGGCCATTTTTCATTTTTCTAGTGAAATACCTATTTGAAAAAGATCTGTTTTGTTCTTTATATTTCTTCATAGAAGCTGAATATATATTCTTCGGATCTTTATTTTGAAAGTCAGTCATTTCATGTGAGAGGACGAAATTAATAAAATCATTATTTAGCAAATCTGGCCACAAGCCCACGTCAACATATTTCTCAAACTCAAACTTAATATTTTCTAAATTTCTTTCCACCTCGGTATCGGTATTACCTTTCTTTTGCTGAACACCAATTTCGTTTTCAGAGGAACTAGAGGGTTGCTCGAAGTCAAGATATTGTATATTTTCATCGTTGGTATTTTTTTTCTGGTTTTGCGGTTTTTTGCTTCCTTCGGTTATACTCTCTTCGCATAAAATACCTTCCTTTACGTTTTTTAATGGATTTATAGCTATTTCATTCGCGTTTATATGTTCTGATTTAAAAAAAGTTTCAAGTTTTGCGTATTTATTTATTTCTTTTTCTCGACAAAACTGTAATTTTCTTTTTTCAGCTCCACTTTTATATTTTCTAGCAGACATACTGTAAAATAAGATATTTTTCTGAAAATAAACAAAGAACTGGATAGAACTTTTAATTTTAATACCTACTTTGTAATGAGTGTAGCAATTCCCAAATTATCATTAAATATAGACATAGACATAGACATAGACATATGTTTATTAGCATCAATACACACACAAAATATACATTTAGAAATAATGAGACATAAAAACATACAAAGTAGTTGAAAAACATAAATAAAAATAAAATAAATCGCAACAAGAGTGAGTGATGTGATGCCAAAAGGATTCCGTCTCAGCATATGCTACCACAGATACTGCAGCAGCGCTGATTTTCAGCGGAGCCCTGATAAATATTGATTCCGTATTGCGCCCGCGACTATATCGGTAACAACATAAACGAAAAATAATGAATTTACCATTCACTGAAAGTAAATATTTCCAAGTATATACATAAAAGTATTGTAAATTATATTAAAATTAAACATACACATATATTCATTTAGTTTTGAAACTGAAATAAAAATAAAAAAGTGATGTTTTATAATTCTTTTTACTTACCTACTGCCTATTAAAAGCAGGAAGTCTAGTTATGCTGAACACTTTCAATTTTAGTAAATTAAAAGAAAAGTCCGGTCCTTATAACTTTTAAGTTATCTATCACTTAGTAAACTAAACACACGCACTAAACAGTAAACACACTTCTAACAATAACAAAGTCAATTCGTTAATATACTTAGTCGACGATAGCAGAAGTGCGGAAAAATAACAAAATTGCGTCGGGCGATAAGCGGAGGGAAGACCCCAGTAATAGACAATACACGGAATACAGCGATCGAAAACAAGCGACAGGGAATTCCCCGTTCCGTTTGATAGATGCGCACACGGGTTGATTGATCGTAGTGTTGCCAACCTTATGATCGGATTTTTTTAAATTCTAGATAATTTTTATTATTGACAATATCGTCTATTGGTTTCAGTTCGGTTGGGGCCCCTCTGTATTCACGGGGCCCTGGGCTGCAGCCCAAAAAGCCTTTAAGTAGATCCGCCCCTGTTACTTAGGCTTACCCAGAAACAGAATAGAAAAGGAAATTTATGGAGTTCCTTACCAATAAATTAATATTAAAAATTTTTTTGGACATTTCAATCTTAAATCCTTTCTATATTATACATAAATCGTTACGTAGGGATTGTAAGAGACTATTATAAGAAATGCCAGCATATGATACTGCGATCTCTAACCCTCCTGCCAAGCGTGGAGAATAAAGTAGATGATTTCTTCCTGTTGCTGATAAAAAAATATCTTTATTATATCAACATCATCTTTATTATATGACATTATGCTTTATTATCCGTGTTATTTGATTTGATTTAATGAATAATGAGATAATGTTTTAAGTTCCATCATTTTAATAATATTGTAAGCCTTATCTAGGCAGGTTGTGGTGATACTTAATTACTTTTATAGTGTTAAATCTCTTAAACCTACAACTAGTACAATAAATGACTATTCTATTCTATTCTATCTCATTGTGCAAAGGCGAATGTAGTGTGATATATAATATTTCCAAATCCCAATCTCTGCACTCGATGCACGGAAGGAGACATCATCATTACAACCCTAGACAAGCACGCAGCTGAACATAGGTCTCTGACTTAATGTCTTTAAACTACGAGCATCCATCGCCTTTCCTGAGTGTCTTATCCGGTCGTACATTTAGTGGTGATATATTAATTCAGAAACGCCAAACTTAAATCCTATTCACTGGGAGCATCATAACCAGAGTAGCATAATTTTTTAGCACTAACTTTCAAGTTTTTTCGTCTACTAAAATAATTGCCTATGGAATTAGAAACAACGCCCCTGGTGCATATTTGTCAGCACCGTACGCGCCGTGCGCGTCGTGTTTTAGAATTCGTTGTATGAAATTATATGAAACCTAGCATATTACACTCACACCGTACGCGCCGATAAAATACGGCATCCGAATATTGAAGGACGCATGCTAATGACGTCATATAACTCGGTGCGTTCGGCGCGTACTAATACTCATTGTTGTCTAATGTTGCCAACTTAGTGGATTTTCCACTAAATCTGGTGGTTTCGACTCGTTTTGAATTATATTTTTACTTCACTTCAGGAGTGTTTACTGTTATGAATGAGTTTTGTGATTACTGTCTTAATAATTTTGCACTTTTATGCCCAATTGGTGTTTTAAATCTCGAGTTATCTTGACTGTCTGGGCGTTAGCATACGCTTAGCTTAATCTTAGCCCGATATAACTGTAAATTCAGAATCAAAGATTATGCTAAGCATACATTCAGCTATGTTTTTCGTAAGTAAAGTGTAAGCAAAGTCAAAGTACGGTCTGTAGATCTCAGACTAAGAGCCAGTGAGCGGCAGTCTTCGGTATTTCAATAAGCTTTTAGTTTTTTTCAGTTAGTCCCCTATATCTGAAGTACATGAAATGGGGACACTAGATTGACCGGTGGTTGTTATAGAGACAGTCGGATGTGAAAGGTGTAAAAAAGACCGACAAAACGTGAAAGTAATAAGGCTGCCGCTTTGACATTTTGAAATCCTACTTCCTACTAATATTATAAATGTGAAAATTTGTGAGGATGTATGGATGTTTGTTACTCTTTCACGCAAAAACTACGGAATGGATTTTAATGAAACTACAATGATATAGCTCATATGTCAGAATAACACATAAGCTATAATTCATAAAAATATTGTGTCATCATCATCATCATTACACCCCTTCACAAGTCCACTGCTGAACATAGGCCTCCCCCAAAGAATGCCACAAAGCACGGTCCTGAGCCACCTGCATCCATCGACGTCCTGCATGTCTTACCAGGTCGTCACTCCATCTCGTGGGGGGGACGCCCTACACTTCGCCTACCGGTACGAGGCTGCCACTCGAGAACCTTTCTTCCCCATCGGTTGTCGGTTCTTCGAGCTATATGGCCGGCCCACTGCCACTTCAGCTTATTAATCCGTTGGGCTATGTCGGTTATTCTGGTTCTACTGCGGATATCCTCATTCCTAAGTTTATCACGCAGAGAAACTCCGAGCATAGCCCTCTCCATGGCTCACTGAGCGACCTTGAGCTTACTCATACGGCCAGCAGTGAAGGACTACGTCTCAGTTCCGTAAGTCATCACTGGCAAAACGCACTGGTTGTACAATTTCGTTTTAAGGTTTTGAGGTATGTCTGACGAGAAGATGTGTCGTAGCTTCCCGAACGCTGCCCAGCCGAGTTGAATCCGTCGATTGACCTCTCGGTCGAAGTTGAACTTACCTAGTCGGAATATTTGTCCCAGGTAAACATACTCGTCAACAACTTCGAGCTTAGTGCTCCCAACAACTACCGGCATAGGTGTGACATGGACATTAAACATGATCTTTGTTTTGTCCATGTTCATCTTAAGACCTATCTGTTGGGAAACACTATTGAGGTCATTGAGCATAGTGCTTAGGCCCTCCAGCGATTTTGCCATAAGGACTATATCGTCGGCAAATCGAAGGTGAGTGATGTACTCGCCATTGATATTGATGCCGTATCCTTTCCAGTCCAGAAGCTTGAAAACGTCTTCCAATGCAGCGGTGAAGAGTTTCGGGGATATGACGTCACCCTGTCTTACACCTCTCTGCAATTGGATAGGTTTCGTACTCTGGTTCTGTACTCGGATAGCCATCGTAGCCCTACTGTACAAGCACTTCAACACTTCGATATACCGACAGTCAACTTGGCACCGCTGAAGGGACTGCAGCACCGCCCAAATTTCGACGGAATCAAAGGTTTTCTCATAGTCCACATACGCCAGACATAGTGGCAAATTGTACTCTTCGGACTTCTGTACAACTTGCCGAAGGGTATGTATGTGGTCTGTGGTGCTAAAGCCCTTTCGGAAACCGGCTTGTTCGGGAGGCTGGAAGTCGTCAAGTCTGCGCGCGAGACGATTCGTAATGACTCTCGAAAACAGCACGTAGACGCGGCTCAGAAGGGAAATCGGTCTGTAGTTCTTCAAGAGAGCGTTGTCACCTTTCTTGAAGAACAAGACCACCGCACTTCTGCTCCACGCCTCCGGTGTAATGCCACCATGGAGGACGGAATTAAAGAGCTTCTGAAGGACTTCAAGTACCGGTCTTCCACCCGCTTTCAGAAGCTCCGCTGTAATTCCATCCTCGCCTGGGGCCTTACCGTTTTTAAGGTGCTGGAGAGCCATTCTAATCTCGCTCAGACTGACGTCCGGGATATCTTCGGAATAGTGTCGGATGAGACTCGCTCTTGGATCGTTACTCACACTTGCGTGCGGCTCCAACGATGACGTGTACAGCTGCCCATAGAACCTCTCAATCTCACTCAAAATCTCAGGTGTCCCGGAAACGATGCTGCCACATTCCGTCTTCAGCTTTGACAGTTGGCTCTTTCTGGCAGACAGATCTCTGGCAAAGACTTTGGAGCCTTGGTTCCGCTCGATCGCTTCTTCAATACGAGCTGTATTGAAGTTGCGTTAGTCCCGCCGCATGCATTTGGAGATCTGTCTGTTCAGATGCCTGTATGCTGTCAAGTCTGTTGAAGAATGTAGCTTCATCTCCCGTCATCGGAGAGTTTTTGTGTTCTTCTGCGGCGGGTCTTGCAGAACTTAGCTCCGACCTCATGGACAGTTTCCACGAGCTTGTCATTCATATCGTCCACTTCATTGCAGTCTTCTAGGCACTGAAAACGGTTTTGTAACTCGAGCTGAAAGGTTTCGGGACTTTGGGACAGAGCACGAGGGGGACGGAGCGTTGACTTCATTAGACGAGACCTCTCCAACTTAACGTTTAGTTTCAGTGTGCCTCTAACCATTCGGTGATCGCTACCAGTTTTCACCCTCGCGATCACGGAGACATCACTGAACAGTTGTCGTCTGGTCGTCATAATGAAGTCAATCTCATTTTTTGTCGAACCGTCGGGGCTCGACCAGGTCCACTTCCTGTGGGGCCGCTTCTGGAAGAAAGAGTTCATCATAAAGAGTCCCTCTTTCTGCATGAAGTCGGCTGCTGCTGGTCCCTTGGGTTCCGTTGCCCTATTCCATATTTCCCTACTTTCAACTCACCGTTCTCTCTTGTGCCTAGTTTTGCATTGAAGTCTCCCATTAACACCGTATATTGGGTTTTGGAGGAATGCATGGCTCATTGCATATTATGTAAATTGGCGAAAATATATGTAAAAATATAAAATATAATAAATGTTAAAAAAAACTTTCATCTGTGACTGCGAACTTTTTTGGTGTAATCGCATCACGTACCTGTGAACCGATTTGGATGGGACTTTCACTGGCAGATAGCTGATATTATAAAGAGTAACTTAGACTTGTTTTATTTTGGGGTTCCGCGCAAAAAAATTCCACGCGGGCGAAGTCGCGGGGAAGAGCTAGTATTCAGTAAAAGTTATCAAAAAAGTTTTTAAGTTACAAAACCGTTTTCAGTGCCTGGAAGACTGCAATGAAGTGGACGATATGAATGACAAGCTCGTGGAAACTGTCCATGCGGTCGGAGCTAAGTTCTGCAAGACCCGCCGCAGAAGAACACAAAAACTCTCCGATCACACTCTTAATCTCATGGCTGTTAGACGGGAGATGAAGCTACATTCTTCAACAGACTTGACAGCATACAGGCATCTGAACAGACAGATCTCCAAATGCATGCGGCGGGACTTACGCAACTTCAATACAGCTCGTATTGAAGAAGCGATCGAGCGGAACCAAGGCTCCAAAGTCTTTGCCAGAGATCTGTCTGCCAGAAAGAGCCAACTGTCAAAGCTGAAGACAGAATGTGGCAGCATCGTTTCCGGGACACCTGAGATTTTGAGTGAGATTGAGAGGTTCTATGGGCAGCTGTACACATCATCGTTGGAGCCACACGCAAGTGTGAGTAACGATCCAAGAGCGAGTCTCATCCGACACTATTCCGAAGATATCCCGGATGTCAGTCTGAGCGAGATTAGGATGGCTCTCCAGCACCTTAAAAACGGTAAGGCCCCAGGCGAGGATGGAATTACAGCGGAGCTTCTGAAAGCGGGTGGAAGACCGGTACTTGAAGTCCTTCAGAAGCTCTTTAATTCTGTCCTCCATGGTGGCATTACACCGGAGGCGTGGAGCAGAAGTGCGGTGGTCTTGTTCTTCAAGAAAGGTGACAACGCTCTCTTGAAGAACTACAGACCGATTTCCCTTCTGAGCCGCGTCTACGTGCTGTTTTCGAGAGTCATTACGAATCGTCTCGCGCGCAGACTTGACGACTTCCAGCCTCCCGAACAAGCCGGTTTCCGAAAGGGCTTTAGCACCATAGACCACATACATACCCTTCGGCAAGTTGTACAGAAGTCCGAAGAGTACAATTTGCCACTATGTCTGGCGTATGTGGACTATGAGAAAGCCTTTGATTCCGTCGAAATTTGGGCGGTGCTGCAGTTCCTTCAGCGGTGCCAAGTTGACTGTCGGTATATCGAAGTGTTGAAGTGCTTGTACAGTAGGGCTACGATGGCTATCCGAGTACAGAACCAGAATACGAAACCTATCCAATTGCAGAGAGGTGTAAGACAGGGTGACGTCATATCCCCGAAACTCTTCACCGCTGCATTGGAAGACGTTTTCAAGCTTCTGGACTGGAAAGGATACGGTATCAACATCAATGGCGAGTACATCACTCACCTTCGATTTGCCGACGATATAGTCCTTATGGCAGAATCGCTGGAGGACCTAAGCACTATGCTCAATGACCTCAATAGTGTTTCCCAACGGATAGGTCTTAAGATGAACATGGACAAAACAAAGATCATGTTTAATGTCCATGTCACACCTATGCCGGTAGTTGTTGGGAGCACTAAGCTCGAAGTTGTTGACGAGTATGTTTACCTGGGACAAATAGTCCGACTAGGTAAGTCCAACTTCGACCGAGAGGTCAATCGACGGATTCAACTCGGCTGGGCAGCGTTCGGGAAGCTACGACACATCTTCTCGTCAGACATACCTCAAAACCTTAAAACGAAATTGTACAACCAGTGCGTGTTGCCAGTGATGACTTACGGAACTGAGACGTGGTCCTTCACTGCTGGCCGTATGAGGAAGCTCAAGGTCGCTCAGCGAGCTATGGAGAGGGCTATGCTCGGAGTTTCTCTGCGTGATAAACTTAGGAATGAGGATATCCGCAGTAGAACCAGAGTAACCGACATAGCCCAACGGATTAGTAAGCTGAAGTGGCAGTGGGCCGGCCATATAGCTCGAAGAACCGACAACCGATGGGGAAGAAAGGTTCTCGAGTGGCAGCCTCGTACCGGTAGGCGAAGTGTAGGGCGTCCCCCCACGAGATGGAGTGACGACCTGGTAAGACATGCAGGAAGTCGATGGATGCAGGTGGCTCAGGACCGTGCTTTGTGGCATTCTTTGGGGGAGGCCTATGTTCAGCAGTGGACTTGTGAAGGGCTGTAATGATGATGATGATGATGATATCAAAAAATAACATTGGAAGACCCATGACAGTTTCAAGGTAATGGATGATAAGTTGTAATTTTTTTTTATAATTACGTTATTTCAATAATTACTACAATGAAATGAAATGAAATGAAATGAAATGTGCATTTAACTTGGGATCAAATCCGGTCATTTTAATTTGTTGGTATCAAAGTCAGCCAAAACGATACTTTAAATTTAAAAATTAGATTAGGTTCCTACCTTTTATAAGAAAATGCTATATAAAAAACATTGGCTACGTCTAAAAATTATGTTTACAGTACAAACATTAATTAAATACCCCTACCCGCAGCAAAAAGTGTTTTTTTAATTTTTTTTCACACCACAAATTGACTAAAAGTCAGATTGCCACCTTTGACTCAATTTATACAATATAATGTTGTAT